TGAGCAGCCTGGCCCAATGGAGCTGTCCCTGCCCATGGGAGCCAAATGAGATGGGTATAACGTCCCTCCTGTCCCAAACCAGTCTGGAGTTTTGGGATTACTGAAATGGGTTATGCTCAGCTGTGTGTGGAACCTTTGAGGTTGCCTTGTTGTGGTGCTACAGATTCTGGAGATTTTTTAACTTTCTGGATGTGCTTTGTGCAGAACAATTCCTCCTGTCCATTGAGGAAGTGAGTCCCACCAGGTCTCTGGTGGAAGGATAGGAGTTGGTTGTGTACGTGTCTTCACAGGTTGTTTCTTCCTCCTACTCTGCACGAAATTACATTGAAATTGATAAAATGCAAATTCACACAGGTGTGACCTAACTGCCACCAGGAAGATGCATTTTCCTGACTCATAAAATTATCTGACAAATAGAATTCTTTGATCAATCAGTGAAAAAAACCCAAGAAGAAGGAAGGAGACAGGTATGGGCAGGGCAGAACCAAAACCAGCTTTGATGTGGGGCAGCTCTGGGAAGGAAGTCACCAACTCCTGGAAGAAAGGACTAGGAAGGACTAGTCCTAAGAAGAACTTCCTTATTTTTAGGCTAAACCATGAGTTGGTAAAAGTTGCTGTAAGAGAGTCCAGGCATGAGGATGAGTTGGTTCTCTGTGCTAAGACAGAGGTGGAAATCCAGTTCTCTGGGAAGCTGAGGTGACCAAATCCTGCTTTCCTGAGAAAGAAACCCCTTCTGAGGCACGGGAGCCCTGGTGGTGCCCAAATGTGCTGCCACCCCCCTGGCATTGGTCCCTCGGTCCAGGAAAAGGCCTGGCCATGGTCACTCCTCAATATTCCCTTCACAGTCTCCTGGAGCACAGATGGAATGTCCTGCACCACCACTGGCATTGGTGCAATTTAATTCCTTGACAACATGAACACTCAGTTTTGTACCAGCGCTTTCCACCAGTGTTTCTTTTAATAAAAGAATTAATAAAATAATGCCCTGCTACCTAAAGCCTCCTCTCCCATCCCTGCCTCTCTTTCCCTCTCCCTGCATACACTCTGGGCTGCTCCTCTCTGCCAAACCTGGTCCCCATCCCTGAAAATTATTTCACTGGAGCTCAGCTCACTTTGGAGCAAACACCAAGGTGAGAAGGGGGTAGAAATGATTGAAACCATCCACAAGAGAGATTTAGGGACCCATAGGACAAGGTTTGCATCCTTTACCCCTAACTCTGGTTGACATTGCTGTTTCCATTGGGGGATGAGCCTTCCCATTGGGAATGAGCCTTCTCCAGGGTGCAGCAGAATGGAAAACACAACAAGAGGTGTTAAAAATCAGCAACAGCTCTGATGAAAGGCCCTTGTGTTTAGAGAGCCTGACTAAATGAATTGAGGGCTCCCGTTGTTGATCTAAGGGAGGTGTGTTTGTTTCCCTCTAAACTCGCAGAAACACCCTCAGAGGCTGTGGAGAGTGGGGGAATTTCCTTTGGAAGAATTGCAGGAGTGTGATGATGGGGACCTCGTTCCAGGCCCCAACGTTCTTGTGCTGGGTTTATGTGTCAGAGCCCCAGCCTGGTGCTGCTCATTCCTGTGGGGCATGGGGTCTAAGACATTTTCCAGCCTAGTTTGTCCTGGGAACTGCTCAGAGCCCAGTAACCACTTCCATCATATATTTGGCTAAAGTGGCAGAACCAACAACACAATCAAAGAACCCCAGAATTGTTTGGGTTCAAATATCTGGGAACTTAGGGATCATCTCGTTCCATGGGCAGGAACACCTTCCACTATCCCAGGTTGCTCCAAGCCCCATCCAGCCCAGCCTGGGACACTTCCAGGGATGGAGCATCTCCAGTATATCACTACCATTTTGTTAAAATGCTGTGAATTACATTTCACAATAAATCAATTACATTTCACAATAAATCATTTCCTTGCCATTTATCTGAGATTTATCAGCAAACCCAGAAAATCATTGCTCCACAACCTCCATGATGTTGGTCAGAAATTCCCAGCTGTGTGTGCAAGGCACAAATGAGCTAGTCCAGTGGAAGGAATCCCATGGCAGGGACTTGAAAAAGGGTGATCCTTAAGGTCCCTCCTGACCCAAACCATTTTATGATCTGATTCCCCTAAACATGTTTTTTTTTTAAGGAAATACTTCCCTTTACTTAGCAGCACCACTGAAAAATCAAATTTATTTCCTTCTTTGCAGCAAAGAGAGGTGAGAGCTTGTTCCTGGCACAAACTGATTGTTCCGTTTATTGTGTTAATTAAAAATCCCCTGGTTTTCTTCTTTATCACCTGATGGTGGAAAACAGGTGCAGAGCAAACACCTCTGACCCATAATTACTCCTGAGTCACCAGAACACTCATGAGATGCAAATGCCAAAGTGAGCAGCCCAGACTATGGTGACTGTTTGGGGTTTTTTTTCCTCTAACAAAACTTGTTTGTTTCCTCACTCAGTAAATTATAAAAACTCCGTTACTGCATAAAATTTTACACCCCTGTCTCAGCTGCCCGTAAGTGCAGACAGTTTATTGATTTCATTGTGCTCTGCTGGGAAGGGACTCTTTACATACATTTTATAAGGAAATACTAATCCTGGTTCTCCCTGAAATGTATGTAAAGAGGTCTTAAACTTTTGTAATTTTCTTATGTTGCCCCACTTATAAAATGAATTCTGGATTTTTTTGTAGCTCTGGTTGGAATCTGTTTCTATTATCACCCCTGATTTCCAATCCAGTGCTTTTCTCAAGGCCTGACACATCCCAGACTCCCTTTTCCCACTGCAGAGCTCCAGAGGTAACTTTTCCATCCTTGCCTGGATTTACCAAATCCTGGCCATTTGGTGTGAGCAGCAAAGGGGCAGCTGGAGAACTCCACACCCTTCCCTGGAGCTGACACCTCCCATGGCACCAACATGGAGATGGTCTAACACAGTCCCAAATCATGAATCAAAAAGGGACCTTCTCCTTTTCTATTTTCTTGGGGTTTTTCTGCTGTTCCAGCAGTTTATAGCCAATATTAACAAACCTCGCTTGCTCAGGAAGTTCAAGTCGTTTTTCAAGCATTAAGGTGTTTAAACATGAGAGGAGTCCCGTGTTGTGGGACTTCACCACATGCCTTAAAGTTAAGCCTCTGCTGGGTGGTGATGAACCTCAGCTGGCACTTACATCCGTTTATTGAATAAGTGTTTATCACACAACCGTGGAATAGTTTGGCTTGGAAGGGACCTGGAAGCTCATCCCCTTCCACCAGCCCAGGTTGTTGAACTGTCCTAAGGCATGTGCAGGGAGGAGAGCCTGACTAAGTTCCACTTCCAGATGCTGGCACCAGCTGGGAAACCACAGGAGGCTGGGAATGCCCAGCTGTGCCCGAGTGGGTTTGCAGGGTCAGGAGGCTGCGGGGTGAAGGGGAGCCCAAGTTCCATCTCAGGAACGGCTGGCAAGGATCTCTGACCGGGAGTTTGGGGAGCTGCAGGAATGAAACAACATCCATGACCTGGAGGAAGAGTAAGAGCTGCTATTTATGGTGACTTCTGAGTGCAAATGGAACGGCAGCACCAGCTGGACAACAACGGCTGCGCCAAAGCAATCGAGCACACTCGAGGCTGGAGTTGGTGTTGACATGTCAGCAACTGGAATCCAGACCCAAGGCTCCCAGATTTTCCTGCCCAGCTCCCACAGCAGCAGGAGGAATCCGGCCCCAGGGCTCCCAGATTTTCCTGCCCAGCTCCCACAGCAGCATTGGGTGAGCAGGTGAGATGTGGCCTGAGGGAGAATTCCATGAGCAAGATGCTCCAAAACAATGATAAGGAGCAAATGGAAGGGAAGGGTCCTGTCCCCTGGGCGGTGGGAGGTGGGACTGTGGCTGTGCCAGGGGAATGAATGACCTCCCTGCCCAGAGCAGGAGGGAGGAGAGGAAACAGCAATAGGGAACTGGCAGAGGTCTCCCACTTGGACACTGCCTCCAGGATGGGAAAAACATTACAGAAAACCTCCAATCTGTCACGCACCTCGCAGTGTTTTGAAGCCTTTGGGTCTAACTCATTGTTTCCTTTGTTGAGGTTTGTCTTTAGTGATTGAATTCCCTCATCGCTGGCTCCCTCTGAGGCTTGTTTGCTTTGGGAGAGAGGGAAGTTCTGTTCTCTGCCCTTGGCAGAAACTTCTGCCCCTCCACAGCGCCTGACACAGGGACAGGGGTGGGGATAGCCCTGAGGACTTGTGTGAGGACAGCTCTGGGACAGCAGCACTCAGCCCAGGGGCAAGGTGTTGGAGCGACATGATCCTGAGGATCCTTTCCAACCCAAGCCAACCCATGATTCTGAACCCTTGGCAGCCCCCAGCTTGGCCATGGATGTCCCTTTGCATTTCCAGGAGCTGAGTGCCCTGGGATGAGCTGGGAGTGGCTTGGAAGGTGGCAGGGAAGGAATGGGGTGAGCTGCTTGCTGCAAACCCTCTGTCAGAATTGCACCTCCCCATATTGACTCCTTCCTCTGGCATTTAGTCACGGAGCTTTGCATTTTGGGAGGATGAAGAGCTTGGTGGAGATCAAACAAAACACAAAGACTTTTCCTTATGTTCCAAAAAGAAGATTTATTTAGTGGGTTTTAGGATTTTAAAATACACAGTTCTGAGTACTGTGGAGGGGGATGCACAAACATTGTGTTCACAGTCCAGTGCACTCCAGAAGCACAGGAGCTCTGGGAGTTCCTGCAGTAAATCATCAGCTCCTGGGCAGCTCTCCTGGAGATTCCAGGCCCTTACTGGGGATAAACAACAAATCACTGCAGAAAGGTCCCAGGAGAGGCCCCAAGTGGCAAAGTGCTGCTGTTCCCAAGGAGGTAAGAGCGGATCAGAGACGGAATGGCTCTCCCAAGGCCATGTGCTCCAGAAAAACGTGGGACACATCATGTTTTTAAGGAGAGCAGACTTTGTTCCTTTGCTCAGGGAAGATTCCTTCAGTTCAGACCACTCTGTTCTTCACCCTTTCAAAGATCTGCATCACTTTTCCTGCTGGGATGCAGCCTTCCCGCACGATGGTGATGCCACCTTTCCAGAGGGAGAAGGAACAAGTCAGGGCAATCCCCAGAGTGGCACAGAAAGGAATACAAAGGAACATCTTGCACCAGCAAAGCCACTCAAAATAAACTTGTGTGGAAGCACCAGAAAGTGAAACCACCGATGAACACTGACATCACACTTTGTTCAAGGGTTTGGTTTTCCACTAATGAATCTCTGAAATGTCAGCCCAGAGCCACCCTGGACACCTCAGCGTGTGCTGCTGCATCACTGTGGGCAAGCTCCTGTCCCACCCTCGTGGTGGTGGGCCGAGGCAGCACCCACCCCTCCTTCTAGCAGCACCCACCCTCCCACTCAGAGCATTTCCACCCTGAGGAGGCAGATTTTCCTTGCACAACTGCGTTTGTCCTCCTGCCTTGTTCCCTGTCAACACAGAGGTCCTCCCAGGACATCTTTTGTTTGTTTCCCTTCATCAACATGTTTGCAAATGTCCAGGCACTCAAGAGCTGTTACTCTTGGAGCACTCTGTGCTGCCAGACTGATACTGGGAAAGGCATGGAAGCCTCCCAGGAAAACGCCGTGGCTGATGAAGGGCGGGTCTCACACTCACTTTCATCAATCTTTGTGCAGTTGACCACAGTGGATGCCACCACCTCATCAGACTCTCCATCACAGAGAACACCCTCCAGCTTATGGCCAAGGCGCCTGTGGGGCAGAAAATAGCAACAACCCTTCACAGACCTGGCTGTGACCTCGTGCTGAGCTTCCCCTCAGTGCAGGACACCAACCCCAGGGCTGCCACCCCTGAAGCAGGAGGGTGGCACTGCCAGTGACCAGGTACTCACGAGATGACCATGTCGTGGTGGGTGCTGTCCACCTCCCCGCTGGGGTTGGCCGAGGTGATGGCCAAGGGTCCGGTCATGTCGATGAGGTGCACCAGGACCGTCAGGTCAGGGACTCGGATCATGATGCTGTCCTGGGTTCCCACCCTGCTGTATCCTGCTCCGACCCCTGCAAGGACAGGCAGAGGATGTTGGCAGGGGCACAGCTCCTGTCGTGGCACCAGGGGGGATCTCCTGCTGCCTTTGGAAGTGACCCGGCTCCATGCACCCAACTAAATGTGCCTTTGTGGATGTCCATTCCTGGGCAGAAAGCTGTGAGAGCAGAGGAACAGTTTGGGGTCCAGCTGGGTAAAAAGGAAATTATTCACTACTGGAGATATCACAGCCATTTCCATGGACACGGGACACAGTGACTTGTGTCACTGTTGAGGCAGGACGGGTATGAGGACACTCTGACTCAGAAGGCTGTGAGAGTAGAACTCTGGTTTATTCAAATGCACTGCTCTTTATGCAGAGCTTTGTGAGAACCAATTCCATTGGTTCCGAAGTGAAAACAACCCACACCATTGGTGCAGAGTGCATGACGCACAGTGAAAGAACTTAACTATGAACAATGTGAACAACAAGGAGATAAAACTCTTATTTACATTCTTTTCTAACAGATTCCCAGGCTCCTGCCTGGTCAGAAACTTTCCGTTTCTCTCTTTGACTGAATCTGAGACTGACATCCTTGTATCCCAAAGCCCAAAGAATTCCTGTGACCGCTGCCCACCCTCCCATCCTCCACCACCTTCCTCTGCCTGTTAAATGTGGTTAACTCAGAATCACTGAATCCACAGAGTTGGAAAAGACCCTTGAGATCTTCGAGTCCAGCCTATGATCCAACACCGCCTTGTCACCCAGACCATGCCACCAAGTGCCACATCCAGGCTTTCCTTGGGCCCCTCCAGGGATGGGAGCTCCAACACCTCCCTGGGCAGCCCCTTCCAATGCCCAATCACCCTTTCTGTGAAGTTTTTTTTTCCTAATGTCCAACCTAAACCTCCCCCGGTGCAGATTAAGGCTGTGTCCTCTCCTCCTGTCCCTGTTCCTGGAGCACAGCCCGACCCCCCGGCTGTCCCCTCCTGTCAGGAGCTGTGCAGAGCCACAAGGGCCCCCCTGAGCCTCCTCTGCTCCAGGCTGAGCCCCTTCCCAGCTCCCTCAGCTGCTCCTCACAGGACTGGCGTTCCAACTCCTCCAGTTCCCTCGCTCCCTGCTATTTCCACAGGAGCCAGGGCTGAGGTGAATCATCCCAGTGCTCCCAGTGCCTGCCTGTGTCCACGTGGTGGGAAGGCAGAGGTGATGAGCAGGGATGACCATCGGAACCCTCTCATCTCCTGGGTGCTCCACCCTGGTTTGCTCATCCCCAGTGAACAGGGGGGGCCCGGCAGAGGGGACCCTCCCAGGCTGAGGAGCCTCCCCTGCCTCTGGTTAAAGAGCTCATCCTGCTGGCTCCCACTCTGGTGAGTCATTCCAGCTGATTAACACCCTCTGCTAAACATCCCCAAAGCATCTGGGAGCTCCAGAGGGGACTTGGCAGAAAGCGATGGGAATCTCTCCCCATCACATCCCAAAGGGTGTTGGGATTGCAGACCTGCCATGATGAAAACATGAAAGGGGGACAGAAGGGTTGTCATCTGCTCATCTCACCCAACTTCTTCAGCCACTCTCCCTTCTGGATAATGCAGCCAATGCCGCCGGGATAAACGTTTTCCATGAATTCCCAGAGCAGGGGGCTGATGGGCGGGGCAGCTGCTCGCAACTGCTCCAGGTTGGAAATAAAGATGCAGATGGGCTTCTCTTGAGGCCTGTCCTGAAAAAACAGAGGGGGAAAATAGATGAAGAGGGAAAGTTTGCCTGGAGGACCTCGAAGCCTGCTGGGATCCTGGTTTGTGTGTTTCCCAGGGAGCAGGAGCTCCGGGCAAGGAAGATGCTGTGTCTGCACAAATGCTGAGCTGTGATGGATGCACCAGCTCAGATCTGCACGTGAAAATTAAAGAAGAGACGGAGCAGCAGCCTGCCCTTGGGAATCTCTGGGATGCATTCAATTCCTTTGAATTGGGCACATCCATCTTGAAGCACATCCATCACAGGGACAGGGATGCTCCACTCAGTATCAGCATTTTTGGGATGCTGCACACCAGGGGCCTGATTTTTTCCAAACTTCTGCTGGTATAAACCAAGGTCAAACCCACCAATTTTTGATGGGATAAGGGATGGAGAGCTCAACCCCTTGCAAACCACAATCTCCACTATCACCCCTCCAGAGCTTTGAAAGAAGCTTGGTGAAGTAAATTCGGTGTAAAACCATGAGTTGAGATGGAGGGGAAATAAAACAAGCTCGCAAAGAGGTGTCATTTCAGTCCTCAACTGACATCAGCTTCAGTGGGGCCAAATGACTCAGGAACTGGGCATGTATTTACATTCTGTTTGTATTCTCTCATCGGCAGGGAAGGTCAGCACTGGCACCAGGGCAGCGCAGAAGAGACGGCCTTTGTGCCGCTGCTCGCGCTGGGGCCAGCTGAGATCGTCTGTTATGGTTATTTCTCCAGGCTAGCCAGGAAATTGCCTCATGGGCAGCAGACAGGGCCAGGCTGCAAAAGCTGGATTGAAGGTGCAACTCTGGGGCTGGTTCCAGCACTGAATGGCTCCAAAAGTCTGGGGGAATGTAGCCCTGGGATTCTGATTCAGCACTTCGTGAGGCACAGAGGACAAACACAGGTTTGGACCCGCTTGTGAGTGTCTGTTCCTGTTTGGGGCTGTGCTTTGTCCATCCCCAGGGATGTCGCTGCCTAATTACCAGGGCTCCAGCCTGGAGCAGAGGGGATGTACCCTGGCTTTCTCAGAAGATGGTCCCTGACGTTCTGGTGTGGCTGATCATGAACTCTGCCCACGGTCACCTCCTGAGTCCTGGGACAACCTGAATCCAGGGGCTCCCTTTTAGCTTCTGCAGAAACTCAGGGACAGGACACAGAGCCAGGCAAGCAGAGACATCCCTGAATTCCCACCTTGATCCTGTAGACCTTCTCGATGGCTTGAGGGTGCTTGCAGGAGGCTGCCAGGGCATAGACGGTGTCTGTGGGGACCCCACACACGGCCCCTGTGTTCAGCAGCTCTGCGATGGTTCTCAGGCCACTCGTGAGGTGGGACTTGGGGCAGACACAGGGCAGGGGATCCTCCCTGTCCCTCCTGGAGCTCTGGACCTGCCAGGAATCAGGAGGCAGTGAATAAGCAAATATGTGGGACAGAGGGTGGGATTGCATCCACCTGAATACAGGAATCCACCATGCTGTGATCTCTTGGGTGTCCAAGGTCACAGGCAGCACCTCTAGGAATGCTTCTCCCACAGCAGGGGAGAGAATTCCAATTATTAAAGTCAAAGACAGAAGCTCAGGGTGCATATTTCAACTGCCAATGCCTTAAGTTAGAGGAGATGAATCCCACCCAGCACAGCTTCCCGGGGGAACGGGTGCTCTCCAAAGTGACCTAAGGAATGTGTTCGGGAATCCAAAATCCAGACCAAGATGGAGTTTCAAGTGCCTGATTCCCAGGAAACGCTGATTTAATGGAAATGTTTCTCTGCAGCAGGAATTGGAGCTGGCAGATCCATCACCCTGGATGGGGGGAATTGCCCTAGTCAGAAGCACCAAATGGCAGAAGGAGTTTGAAGTTAAGAAAAGATGGGGAATTCTTGCTGTCCTGTCTGGGAAACTTTTTAATCTCCCTGCTCCCAAGACTGTGGCTTTAAAACTCTGAGGAGTTCTTAGACTGGGGATGGCTGATTCCCCAGGGTCAAGATATGACTCTTGTGAACATCCTTGCCCTTTCTCCAATGTTATTCCTAATGGAAGAGAGCTCATTTCCAGCTCACAGCTCCCTACAAAGGAGCCAGGACTTTGAATGGCACTGAAGGATTCAGCAGAAGGGAAATTCCACAGAAGTCTGCACTGAAGGCCCCAGAACATCCCCTCTGAGCAAGGAAGCTAGACCACCATGCCAAGACCTCTTACTGTGAGCAGAGGAGGTCCCATCACCAGGAGGTCCTTCCCGAACATGCAGTTGGTGAGAGAGGCTGTGGCTCCGTAGAAGCAGACGACACTGATGATGCTCAACACAACAACTGGAAAAAAATCCCAGAGTCAGGGGTAGGAAGGGTGATTAAATCCTTGTCCCTGGAAGGATTTAACAGTGTGGATGCGGCACCTGGGGACAGGCTTTGTCAGTTCTGTGGGGATGCTTGGACTCAGTCGCTTGGATTTATTTCATGGTGCTGTGATTCTATTCTGTGGTGACAAAGTCCTGGTGGAAAAGCTCTTGATAATCCCCTTGCTAAAGCACTCCATGGAATCAAAACTTAAATTGTCACTTGCAGCAAAGCCAAGGCTTCAGCAGAACTACAGCCATTGACAGCTGTGGCACATTCAGCCCATCCCACACCTCAGGGAACATCCGGTGGGAAGTAGAGCTGGACAGAACCTCTAGAGGTGCTCTGATCCAGCAGTACTGGGTTTATTTGGAACTTCAAGGCCCTAGACGTGGTAGGATAAAATATTTCCTTCTCCAGTCACGCTTGCACACACCCCAGACTTCCAGGGAAAGAGGAACACTCTACATTATTTTCCCACACTGCTCCTCAGCCCAGGACCCACTCCCGGCACTCTGTGGGTGAGGGTTTAATGTCCAGGTTCCCCTAAAACTCACTTTCAAATGGCAAAGGGAGGTTCTCCAGTGTAAAGAGTAGAAAACAAATGATCAAGAGCTCCATGGCCAGGGTCAGGCAGAGCAGCACCACGTTAAAAGAGGAAGCTGTGGAAAGAAACACAAACAAGAGGGACCCACATCAAGCACGGCCCATAAAACGTCCATGAACCAGCAGAAGAGTTCCTAAATCAACTGAGGCTTGTTTGATTAAACCGAGAAGCCCCAGCTCTGATTTCCCTGTCGGTGGAGGAACAAAGAGGCACAGCCAGGGTCTGTTCAGCCCTCAGGTTCCACAGACACACTGCCAAACCCT